AAAAAAGGAATGGACTTATGATCTTATCCATATATATAACTGTTACTTCACCCGTGAATGAACGGAGATATTTATCATGAAAACAAATGTTTGATTACAAAAAATGTCATTGAAATAGTAAACAAATGTTGATATGCAATACAATGTAGTACAAAAGGATAAAAAAAAACTATTATGTTTGGTGTAAGTAAAAGCCAAAATAGGTGAAAAAAGAAAAATATCGAAGAATGAAACTTCGTATGCAAAAAACGAGTATATCCTATGTCCCAACGTGTACAACTATAATGCCCAATTAATTAAAATTCTTCATTTGCCTAAATCAGTTATTGTGTTTGATTACAACTGCCTAAACTGCATGTCGAATCCAATAGTACAAGATAAAATAATTGAACGAAAAATCTTGAATTGTTGATATATAACAAGATATAACCCAAAAAATAAAAATAATATCCATTCATTTTAGTTAAGTGCCTATTAAACTAAATTAATGAAAAAAAAATATAAAATACAAAAATTGAGATATAAAAAATAAGATACATCATCTGATCCAGATGGTACAATTATCTCGTCCAATGCATTCGGATTATTAACATGAAACTTAGTTGTCAAAGTAGTGTTTTATAGCACATGCATTGACATTGTTTATAACTAATCTAATACATTGCGAGTAAATTGCACATTTTTCGTTGTTCACCGTCTATCACTGATACAATGACTAAACATATACGATGACTAAACATAAACCACCTGAAAGTGTAAGAAATAAATAAAATATATATTAAACTACTTTAATAAAAGACACTTTATTTGAGTCTACATTAACATTAGAATAAAGTGCAAATAAATATAACACTGCAAAATAATTATATATAAATAATAATAAAAATAACTGTGTTATTGAATAAAAAAAAACCATTTTTTGTGGTATACGTTCATATTAGCTGAAAATTTGCTTTCACACGACATCGCTAGTAATATTTGTAGCTTCATTCCGACTTGATGAATATTTATGTCACATCTACTATTAACTCTAGATATTATGATTTATAATTGACCATGCCACCTCTAATATTAATAGTACTAACACTGATACTTTTATATATATATATATATATATATATATATATATATATATATATATATATATATATATATATATATATATATATATATATATATATATATATATATATATATATATATATATATAATAACGATGTTTATCAAGAGTACACAAGAAAAGCACTTTGAATTGTTGATTAATCGTCGCAGATGGCTTAGCACCAATAGTCATTATCTAATAATGGATTCTAATACCCTATCCGAGAGTTATCAATATTTATCAAAAAAAATTTAATATTAATACTAATACTAATATTAATAATAAAACTAATACTAATACTAATATAATTACTAATATTAATATTAATACTAATATCAATATCAACACCAACACCAACACCAACACTAACACTAACACTAACACTAACACTAACACCAAATACTAATACTAAATACTAATATCAATGTCAATAACAATTAAAATACCCATACCAACACCAAAACTAATACTAATATTGGTATTGATACTGATATTGGTATTGATACTGATACTGATACTAATATTTATACTACTACTAATACTAATACTAAGAAGTAAAAGACGGTTGCTTTATCTTTAAGCGAAGTCGAGTATATTGCAGCGACAAATGGCGCTTGTGGGATTAGGAGAATTCTTTCGGATTTACAAGAAAAACAAGTGCAAGCTACAACTATTTTTTGTGATAACATGTTGACAATTGCAATGACTAAGAAATCCAGTCTTTCACGCAAAGTCCAAACATATCAAGCTTCGACATCACTTCATACGTGATCTCGTTAACGAAGAAAAAATTCCAATGGAGTTCTTTAACACCAATGATCAAGTTGCTAACTTTCTTACCAAAGCCGTGACAATCGAGAAGTTTAAGAAGTTCAAGAAGATGTTGCAAATTACGAATCAAGAGGGGGTGTTGAAAACAATAATTCATATTTTCAATAAAGTAGTTGGAACATCACTCCAAGATGAAGACTTGCCTTGTAGATGTCAATAAGTTTTCTTGTAATTTGTTAAGACTTTTACATTTATTAATAACTTGGGACTTGGAATGAAGTGTCTCTTTGTATCCAATCTTACCCTATAAATTATACCAAGATCAGATTTTTATATTCAAGATTAACAACTAAAAACTAAAAAATTCCAGCAATAAAAACTTATCTTGTTCATAATCAATTTCATTGTTCTTCACTTAATAAAAATCTCTACACCAATTCTTCGTGTTTTTTTCATACCACAACACTTCCGCAGATTAAAAACCCCAACATTCTCGTCATAGAAGATTTTTCCGCTGAAATTTGCTGAAATTCGCTGCTATTGCTGTCGGATTCGATTTGGGCTCTAACAATGACTTGAAAGTATGAATATTCTATATTCTGGTATTTCACGACCTCGCGTGCATATTTTGTGAAGAAAATAAACCCAAATTCGTGCTCGAAAAAGCCTCTGAACCACAACTGTATACAGTCTGCCATGTTCGCGGGAATCCGGCCACCACCGCCGATTATCACCGACGAAATCCACCACCATCGGAAACCTAACATCCTAAGGTTTCTATCGGTACCTTCACATAATCAAAACTCCACCTTTAAGACTTCCATGCAATTAATTCTTTGAAGAGCTACAATTCTGAAATCTATACGACAACTTGTCTTCTTTGCCGGATATCGGCCACCACCGCCGATCTTTGACCGTGAAATCCGTCACCATCGAAAAGCTAACATCCTGAGATTTCCAACGGCACTTCAGAATCATCGAAATTCAATATATACAATCTTTAGACACTTAATTGTTCAAACAACCCAAAATTTAAAACTTAATTTCAACAATCTTCTGTTCCTATAACTTCAAGACAAGTAATAATTCAATTCGATTTATTATTAGGCTGACCATTACATAAATTAACATAGGCAAAGATTAGTTATTTGTGTGACATATTAACTAATAAAATGAACCATCTATACATAACATTAAAATATAATTCCTCATGAAATTAATTAAATTTAATGGGTTTGTTACACAGTCAAACTTCCAGAAAGTGGAATAAGAACTTCATAGTCAATTACTACATTTAGGCCTCGTTTGGTTGGCAAGATAAGATTATATAATCTAATGAAACCCAATTATTTTATAGGAGATTGAAACGTCCAACAAAAAAAACTCATTAAAAGGCAGATAAGCCATGATTATATAATTTTGGCGGGTCGACCCGCAATTTATTGAGGATACCAAACATCAAATGAAGTCCAACTATTTCATTAATCATGACTTATCTTGACAACCAAACGAGGCCTTAGTTTCCATTAATCTAGGTCTGATTATTCACTCTTCACTAGAGGTTCATGTACCACTTATAGCTCTTATTCTTTATGTTGGTGATATGATAATTGTTGGTCCAAACTCAGTTGAGATAGAGTCTATCAAAGCTCAATTGCATCTAGTTTCTAAACTCAAAGATCTTGGTACGATGAAATACTTTGTTGGTTTGGAAATTGCAGGAAATTATAACGAAGAAATTATAGTTTTCATCTCTCAAGTTTGCACCGATATTACATTTTGTCCTCATGTTCACAAAAAAACACATTTGGTCCCTCATGTTCCAATAACTTAACACTTTTGCTCCGATCTGTCAATTTATCGTTAGTCCGTTAGTTAAGACAGTCATGGACACACGCTTGATTCCATTAGTCTTAACAGAAAATTGATGGAGAATACTAAAAGTGTTGAATTTTTGAAACATAAAGGACCAAATGTGTTTTTTGTGAACATGGAGAACCAAATGTGAAATCGATGCAAACTTGACGGACAAAAACTGTTTCTTTTCCCAAGTTAGAATGGTATTATTGTTTCTCAAAAAACAATATGCTCTTAAGCTACTTGAAAATACATGTATTTTGGGATCCAAAGCTGGTTCTGAATGCTGAAGATGGAGAATTGCTCCTCACCTGAAAGCTTATTATCATTGAAATATCTCAAAACTTCTCCCGGCCAAGAACTTTTTACTCAGCCAACTCATCCACCAAAGTTAAAGCATTCTCGGATGTTGATTGAGGATCATGCACATACACCAAAATGCCTACTTCAGGGTTTTGTATATTTCTAGGAGATTGTTTGATCTCTTGGAAATCTAAGAAGCAAACCACTATTTCCAGGTCATCTGTTGAGTCCGAGTATCGAGCATTAATTGGCAACATTATCAAGTGAGTTAGTATGGAATAATCAGATTCTTCTAGAGTTCCGGATGAGTGTAAACTTATATTTTTGTGACAACTTGGATGCAGTGTAAATTGCTTTGATTGCCATTTCATAGAGAGCAGTAACCGAAGGAATTATTGTTAGATTAATGCTAGTTCGCAGTAAAGGTCAAGTTGCACATTTGTTCACAAAGGTACTTCCTTTGCCACTATTCTCTAACCTGTTATCCAAGAGGAATACAAGAATAATATTCTTCTTTTTTTAATTTTAATTCACTTCTGTATTTTTTCTCCCTTCATTATGTTTGCAGATGTTATTTTACCAAGTATAGTTAAAGAAACACATTTCTATTTGTATAGAACACAATGTTTGATCAAAGTATCCGATTAACAATTTTGTGTGCAGAGAGGAACGAAATATATCGACATAAGCCCGTCACTCTGGGAGAGGAGAAGTGCAATTTTACAGACCTGAATGGAGTTTGTCTTGCACAAATAGGAGTTTGTTTTTGTATCAATTTCCATTTGCGCAAACAGCAGCACCTATGGAACAAATTAATTTTTCAAAAACCAAAAAAAATCATAAGACTTGTGCTTGAAACAGTTCGAAACAACTCAAACATTCCAAGCTGAGATTGAGACCAAGAAAGTGGTAAGAGGTTGGGTAGTCAAGATTACGAAAAATGAACCAATTTTGAACCACCAACACAAACAAAAGAAAAATCAGATTCCATAACTAAGAAGGAAGTCAATTCGCCTGGCTTCGATGACAATAATGCATCAAATAAACAAACCATACCTCTAAATTCCACATATTTATACCAGACGTTTCATTACGGAATTAAAAACAAAAGGAAAAGAAAAAGGCAGCACAATGAAAGATAGAAGAAAAGTGCAACTTGGAAATCTAAACTTGCCATATATGCCTATGCAGCAATATAACACAGCGGAGTGTTTCTCTCTCTCTCTCTCTCTTATTAGTTTCTCTCTCTTAATAGCCGCCGTCATTTCCTCCGCCATTGTTATATCCACCTGGACCACCAAAGTTACTACGAGGTGCTCTCTCTTGAGCAAAGCTTACTCGGATGTTCCTCCCTCCCAATTGCTATATCAAAAGAGAGTTATATTTAGTGTGTTTATATATATATGGCTTTATAGGGTGTTTGGCTAAGCTTATTTTAAACAGTTGATAAGCTCTTAATATATTATTTCCTACTTTTACTCATAATAAGATCTTAAATAAAAAGGTGGGATAGAGGTACTTTATTAAAAAAATCGTATTTGCTCTCCAACAGCTTATTTAGAAATAAAAATATTTTTTTTTCAAAAAAAATTACCAAACACTTTGAAAGAGCTTATAAGCTCTAGAACATCGTATAAGCTCCTTTTAACAATCTTATCAACTTAGCCACACACCCTCATAGAAGGATGTCGAAAAAGAAATGAAGACGATGTCTGGAAAAGGATCACATTTCATTCACAATGTGTCTTAAGACAATGTTTAGTATACATTTCAATAGATTTTCCCTAGATCTATATATATATATATATATATATATATATATATTATTCTGGGAAAATCTTTTGAAAAGCTTCATAAACATTTACAAAATAAGGAATTAAGACAATGTCTGTGAATATTTTCAAAACAAATTCAGGTTTATTAAGGTTTTCAAAACGAATTCATGTTTATTAAGTTTCTCTCTCCTCGAAACATGTTTACTTAATTTCTAGAGTAAGAAAATGTTTTCACCAACAAATAAACAGAAACCACTTTATTTTTCAATTAGCATATTCTTTCCCCAAAAACATTTTTTGCCCATAACAAAACGGAAATGAGCTCAAAGCACTTCCAAACATGGCTTAAGAGTTATAATAAACAATACTCAGTTTACTGAATCTCACCTGCCCATCCATGGCTGACAGTGCTGAGCTGGCAGATTCGTCGCTCGAGAAATTCACAAACCCGAATCCTCTAGACCTACCCGAGTCTCTGTCAGTAATAACTCTCGCTGTGCAAAAAATAAAAAATAAAACAAGTTTATCAATATTTGAGTATAACAAAGCAGTAAATGAAGGTAAATAAGTTTCTCGGAACCTATAACACTATAAATCACATGCATATGAAACTTCGGAAGATACATAATTCACATATAAACATAACAAACTAGGATTTTAAATAATTGAATCAAACTAGGACAAAATGCACTTCACCCCTACAAATTTTCCATTTTTGCACTTTTCCCCCTAAAATTTCAAAAACTGGATAACCCCCTTCAAAATATTATTTTGGCTGCACTTTGCCCCATAAGCCAATTTTTGGTGGGCATTGTGCAACAAAAATTAACATATAAAAGGGGCAACGTGCAAAAAAAATATTGTTTTTAAGGGGCAACGAGCAACAAAAATAACATATAAAGGAGCAATGTGCAACAAAAATTCTCAAATGCCGATGAATAACCAATCCAAATTTTTCTATCGAGGCAATGTGCAACAAAGAATAACATTTCGAAGGGGGAAATTAACTTTTTAAAATTTTGAGGGGGTAAAGTGCGAAACTTAGAAATTTTTAGGGGGTGATGTTCAATTTTCCCCACATATAAATATATACACATATTGTTTGATTAATCTTACCATCAACAACATCACCAAAGCTAGCAAACGCCTCTCTCAGAGAATGGTCATCGGTACCGTAAGATAGCCCTATAAAAAAAATATATATTACACAATTTTAGTTATCAAATCAATAAAATTGCTATCTTGAATATCAAATAAATTACTAATTGGGGAATTCGACAGCATTCGAGAAATAAAACCTCCGACAAACAGCTTCGACGACATGCAACGGATTGCGTTAAACATCGAAGACTGCCCATTTAGTCCATTGCTAGAAATGCTCTGCTTCAAAATGCTCCCAAATTTGTTGTATAGTGCCATTTTTACAGTAAGCTGTAACCAAAAAAAAATTACAAATTAAAATCAAACATATGACATAGAACTAAATAATTAGGTCATTTTTCCCCCCAAAAAAAAAAAAAGTGGCTGAAAATCAATTGAAAGGAAGCAGCATCAAAATAGTAAACACAAATAGACGAAGAGAATTAAATAAATAAAATAAACATACAAATCATACAAACAACAAAGGGAAAAAAAATCGACAAATCATACAAGAACGATCATTTAATTAAAAAAAAAAAAAAAAAAAATTGAAGGTGCTGCTTTACTTGGGACTCGATCTTAAGATCGTGTTTGGCGGAAGTGAAAAATGAAGAATAAAAATGGAAGAAAATATGAATAGAAAACAAATGTATGAAATGAAGAAGAAGAAGTTACCTGTTAAGAGAGAGAAGGGGGGTTTTAGAGAGAGAAGGGGAAATTCGAAGAAGCGGCTAGGGTTTATTATCTCTCTGCCACTCTCTAGATACTTCGTTCGGTAGTGAATAATTAATACACGTATGGGGTATATATATATATATATCATTTTTTTTTTTTTGCGCATAAGTCCAACCAAGCATTTTTTTTAGAGTAAAAAGCAGTTTACCCCCTAAACAAATGGCCATTTTGCACTTTGCCCCCCAGACAAAAAAAATTTGCACGTTCTTACCTAAACTCCGGTTTTTGTTGCACGGTGCCTCAAAATTGGAATTTTCAGGCCATTTTGACCGGATTCTTACCCACGTGCGTTTCACGTGAGTTTTAAAGCGGTAAAATAGTCTATTCACTTACCTTCTTCATAAATTAAAAAAAAAAAAAAAAAAAAAAAAGTGGGAAAATCTGCAATTGACTGGGAATGGGTTTCCTCTTAGTTTTCTTCCCGGACGAACACCACCAAAATCAAGAACAAAAAACCACTACCGCCGCCGCCATCACCACCGCCGCCGCCACCACCACCAACAAAAGATTCAACAATTTCAATCTTTTCCCAAATTCATCACCACTCAGGCGCAACACCCACCTTCCCTGAAAAAAAAATCCAATCCAATGGAAGAATTCCTTACATCCAGTCCTTAATTTATTTCCTCTTAATCCAATAATTTTTATTTTACTGTCTCCAAAAACACATGGGTGGTAGTGATTAATCTGTGACGATATCAATATTTCATCGTACTTAACAGAAAATCTACCAAAATTCCGTCAAGAGATAACCAAGCTTTAATTCGTGCAATCAACTATTTCAATAACAACGAATCAGTAGAAAATATCCCCAAAAAAAATTTGGATTAAATAAACAGAGAGTATGAAAATTGAGTGCTAGAAGAGTAAACATTGCGGCCGGAGGAATTGTTGAGCGAATGAGGAGGGGATTTGATGGGATCTTCGACGTCGTTGTTTTGAGGAGGGGAATTCGGTAATGCTGCCGCCGCCTCTTTTTTCCCCCGACTACTACTGCTCTCCGCCGCCATTAATTCCACTCTCATCTGCCGAAAAATGTTCTGGGTTGAAGGAATTCGAATCGGCGAGACCGATTTTGGGGAGAATTATTGGGGCAGAGTGATTTTCGTAAATTTTGTCAAATCTTCGTCGCAGTGAACAAACTTTGTGCAGGGAAGGTGGGTGTGGATGACAGCTTCTTTTTTTTTTTATATTTATTTGTATTTAATATTAAACATGCAAGTGAACGGACGAATTTACCCCTCAAAATCTCACGTGCAAAGCACATATTTTAACATTCCGGTTAAAATTGCCGAAAAATTGAGTTTAGGGGGCACCGTGCAACGAATTAACGAGTTCAGATAAAAACGTGGAAATTTTTTTTGTTTGGGGGGTAAAGTGCAAATCGACCCTTAGTTTAGGGGGCAAACTGCTTTTTACTCTTTTTTTTATTTTAGGTTTAAAGTCTATATCTCTTACACCAATAAGCCATCTCTTTAATATTTATTATAAATAAATAAAATATTCATGTATATATATATCAATATTACCCCAACCATTTATACCCAATTCTTAATTGTAACCTTAATTTAATCAATTTTGTCCACAAAATCCAATTTTGATCTTTTTTTTTCAAAATATTTTTTTGCCGCTAAATTTCGGCGTTGACTTTTCGATTATTTTTTTTTTCTTGGTATGGATTTTTTCGCCGGTTTCCGGCGTTGACCAGAGGTCTCCGTCTTTGACTTTTCTTCAGTGTTTTTTTTTTTTTTTTTTTACGTCCACCGCTAAACGTTGACCGTAATTGTACTATCACTGACAGTAAATTAACGAAATTATACTGTCAATGATAGTTAATTAACGTAATTGTACTGTCGTTGACAATACATTTATGTAATTGTTCTGCCGTTGACAGCAAATTAACGTAATATTATTATTTTTTATTTTTTGTTATTTTTTTATTTGGTTTGATCTATTGACAAGTCAACGTAATTATATTACTGTCGTTGACACTAAAATAACTGTAAACAAAATAATATTACTCTCAACAACATCAATATTATTATTTTTTCAGATTTTTTTTGTTTTGTTTGAGTTATTCACGGAGTAACGTAATAATATTACTGTCTATTATTATAATATTACTGTAAACACAATAATATTACTGTGGTTGCAGTAATATTACTGTTATTATAGTAATATTGTTGTCAACCACATCAATATTATTATTTTGTTTGGATTTTGTTTGTTTGTTTGAGTTATTCACGGAGTAACGTAATAATATTACTGTCTATTATTGTAATATTACTGTGGTTGACGGTAATATTACTGTTGTTATAATAATATTACTGTCACTCACAGTAATATTAATTATTTTGGCTTTTTATTACGTTCACATTTGTTGAACGGTCAACATAGTAATATTACTCTATTACACAACAATAATGGGTTATATTGTGTTAATATCAGTGTTCTAAATAGCGGTCGTGGCGGTCGATATATCGGCCGCCATATCGGTATCGGTTATAAACCTTTACGATTTTGTTGAGGCGGTTTGGAATATCGGTTTTTTACGGCGAGGCGGTTTGCGGCGGTTTTTGCGGGTCAAACCGATATATCAGTCAACAAATCGGTTTTTTTTTTTTAATTTAAATTAAAATGAAAATATGTTTTGATTTTTTATTTTTCTCCAATTCTTTCAACTTCCAAAACCAAACCAAGTACTACCCCGTAATTTACGCTTTGTTGTGTTTATATTAATTATTGATGCGAAAGACTTGCGTAATATTTGTATTTCGTAAGAATCTTTTATTATATTATCATCTTATTATTTTTAAATTTTTGTTATTTATTGAGTAATTAGAATTATATAATAACATATGAATTAGAGGATAGAATTATGTTTAAATATTCTTTTATATATATTTTGAGTATTTACAAATATTTTTTTAGAAATATATTACACTAAATTTAAAAACCGATATATTTCCGATTTATCTCCGATAAATTACCGCCGCGCCGATTTATCGTGTGGCGGTCCCAAACCGCCACGTACCCGATAACCGCCTTTTAGAACCTTGGTTAATATTACTGTGCTAGAGATTAATATAGCAATATTACTGTGCTAAACTGTAGTTTAGTTAATTTTACTGTGTTTAACAGTAATATAGTTAATATTACTGTCAATCACAGCAATATTGTTGTTTAAACGAAAAAAAATATTACATAAAGAAGAAGGTAAAAAAAATCGAAAAAAGTCAACTACGGAAACCGGCGAAAAAATCCGAAAGAAAAAAAAATGAAAAGTCAACGCTGGAATCCAGCGGCAAAAATAAAAATTTTGAAAATAAAAATTTAAAAAAAAAAATTGGGTCAAAATTGAATAATTTGTGAAATTTGGGGTCAAATTGAGGTTAAATTAAGTTAATGATGAAATTGGAGCATATTAAAGTATGAGGGGCTATTCAATTCTTTTACAAAAATCTGGACCACGTGTGGATTTGGTATATGAGTTTTTTATCTGAATCTCTTTACGAATAAGTGCTCATTGATGGGCTTATTTATAATGACCATATATATATATATATATATATATATATATATATATATATATATATATATATATATATATATATATATATATATATATATATATATATATATATGTGTGTGTGTGTCTCTCTGTATGATATATAGATGTAGAGATGATATCATCATAGAATATATCATCATCTGATGAGATATATATATATATATATATCGATGTCTATAATGTATACATATATAATATATAATATCAACACTAATATATATATATATATATATATATATATATATATATATATATATATATATATATATATATATATATATATATATATATATATATATATATATATAGGGAGAGAGAGAGACACATATAAATTTTAATCTCAGAAAATATCTCCGGCTTTTTTTCAGTGCGGTTACATTTTCCTACGGATTTTTGACTTTTTGTACATCATAGTTGTAGTTGTACCCGGAATCGATTGATATATTATCTAAAACGGTAAATACATATTTAGAGCATCTCCGATAGATCACTATATCGCGATTTTTTCATCTAAGTGTTTTTAGTCTCCCACCCAAAATTCGTATATCACATTTACACTTAAAATCAAGAGATTTGATTTTAGTCTCCAACTATGGTCAACCGACATATCACCATATACTCAAATCCTATTTTTTCACCAAATGTTTTGGTGAAGGAATTTTCATCTCCCACCTATTCACCATTTTCCTATTTTTTTCCACCAAATCCTATATTTCGTACCAAATATAGAGGTGAAAATAGGATTTGGTGTAATTAACACCATTTTATTAATTAACATATAGATGATGATTTTAACTAATTGCACCTGATTACTGACTTAATTAGCATGGTGATAAATTAGCATTTATATGATGATGATAATAATGGTGAATGAGATTTTTTTATAATTTTAAATTAATTTATGATGTATATTTTTATTTATGTAATAATTTATGAGATTATTGTTTATATATGATTTATTATATGTAAAATAATTTGAGTTCATGTTTAGATAGTGTTTTAAAATTGATAGCATAACTTTTAAATTATATAGTTAAAAAAATTATTACTTAAAATTGCATCTATAATTAATATTTAGGAAATAAAGTATACTAAAATTACGATAAACATTAGATTTAGGGCATTTATGGTGAAATGCTATGGGGGACCAAACCAAATCTCATATCCTGTGTAAAATGGTGAAATATTATTATTTTAATATTTGGTCTAAATTTGGTGAAATGCATTGGAGACCAAAAACACTATTTTTCCACTAAAAATGGTAGAAGGGTAAATGGTGTGCTGTCGGTGGGAGATGAACCCATTTTTTCACCACAAAAAATGGGATTTGGTGCAAAAATAGTGAAACCGGTTGGAGATGCTCTTACATGACGAACTATTAGTATAAAAAAAAGAAAAAAGAAAGGTCGACGGTAAAGTTTTTGGGGTTTGTACCGATAAATCCCCAGGTGAAAACATAAAACGCGAGTTAGTCCCC